CCCCTGAGATTCATATGGGGAGTGTCTGAACTACCGTGAGGGTCGTCGGCAATTGTCATTACAGAGTTTTAACCAGAACATTGTGATATCACGGAAATGATTTTAAATTCACGGTAAGTTACTGTCGGGGGGAAAACGACCAGGTTCTGTAGGGAGCAGTAGTTCCATCTCTAGTCAGTATAAACATACATACTAGTATATACCCCCGTGTGAGTTCCCCTGAGTTACAGTAAGTGTCTGGGGGAAAAGACCAGATGTTTGGTAGAGAGCAGTAGTCCCATCTCTAGTCAGTATAAACATACATACTAGTATATACCCCCGTGTGAGTTCCCCTGAGTTACAGTAAGTGTCTGGGGAAAGAGCCAGTGTTTGGTTAAGAGAGCAGTAGTCCGCATCTCTAGTCAGTATAACATACATTATATCCCGTGTATCCGAGAAGCGAGTGTCAGGGAAAAGTTTGTAGGAGGCGTACATCTTCTAGTAATTGCTCGGAGCGAATAAAAATCAGCGGTGAGCGTAGAAAGTGTTACATATGTTATATTAGGAATAGAACTGCATGTGTGTGTTTGGCTAACGTCATGATACTTGGATATTATCAAGAGCTAATGACTCCATACTAGAGTGTACAACGGAAAAACGAGAAATAGTCGCTATTTTCACGACATGATTTATTAACTTTGCTGCTAGTCCTAGATAATTTTATGGTATTGCATTAAGCAGAATTCTTTGCTCTCTAAGACAAGACCACACGCGTTGTCAATACGATACTCCTAGGCTGAGATATTGGCTCGTAAACTTCCCTCCACAGGCTCACGCCGCCTCAAATCACATCAGATCCATCCTTCTCGCCGATAAGGTTGCTTCGTGAGAGTTCGGTTTTTCCCGATAACTTTATGAATGAACGGCGTTTCGGTTATAATAGGATGTGTTTCGGGGCATGGCCTATGTCGTTCGCTCCTTATCTTTCCTAGCACGGCTAATGCCTGTTTTGATGGAGCCGGCAATCTAATATATATTTGAGTTCGTATGTATCTATTATGTATCTTCCCTATAGGCGGCCAAACTGCCCAAGCGATCTGGATGCAATTTTACAGCATCTCTTCTATACCCGGCGGAGTGTTCGTAGCTGGAAAAAAACCTGGCAAACCGTCAAACTCACCGAAAAAATCGGTGAAAACCCTCAATTTCGTCATTTCACACATTGTCAGCACTGACTGTACAGTGCTGCCACACAGAGAAAAATGCGATCACTCATTCCATGCAGCTGCTGGTATTGTGAAACCGAAACCGGTACTAAAGGAGCACAACCAGATATGTGTCAGTGTGGCGCAATGCGGGCGGCGTGTGTTTACAGTTGAAACGCTTCAAGTGCCTGTGGTTACGACTGATTGTTTTATCAAGAGGCTTCAAATGACAAGTGCAACCCATTCGTACATGCTGTTGAATAACTTTTTCTTATTTACACACATATTATATTATGTTCAGGGTTCTACTTTGGGTTGTGCTGTCATATAAATGTCATACGTAACTGTTTTTTACGCATGCTTATTATCTGATTAACTGATTTCTAAATATTTATAAGAGATTCACTATAGTTTAGTATGAGTATTATATAGTTTCACAGGTTACGATTGCTCAAAACATCACGCATAAACACGCGTACCAAGTGAGTAAACATTCTTTATATATTACAAAGTTCCGCACTCGTGGCCTGTCTGTATATTATATATCGACTTTTTTATATCATGCTACGATTTCAGAATCATTAGTACCATTCGAAAGCTATGCATTTTCTCATTCAGTAGAAAAATTCCTTTATTTCAATGTGCATGGTTGCGCGCACATTAACTAGACAATATCCAATGGACACGGACCACATCGCTGGCCTGTCTCTATATATCTATATACCATTTCGTTTATTCATCCTACGATCTGACAATGGATAGCTGTAGCGTGGGGAGCTCAACAGTTCAGACGCCAGCAATCTCTACATATTTCAACCAGACCACACCAACCATTGAACACGCAACCATCACACCACACCGCCGCGCACAGCACGCACGCACAGCCACGCGAACACGCAAACGCATTGTTTATCAAGAGGTTTTCAAATGAAAACTGAACCATTCGTACATGCTGTTATATATAACATTTTTCTCATTTCTCACCATAATTATTTATGTTCCAGGGGTTCTAAGTTGGGTTCTGCTGTCATATAAAGTGATACGTAACAGTTTTTTCCCCATGCTTATTATCTTATTACACTGATTTGTAAATATTGATATTGTGTGGATGTTATATTGTCGATTTTTACCCAATGTTCCTATTGTGTCCAATTATTAGTAGTATGAATTAGTAAGCGATTTTACAGCGCAGCGGTCCGCAGCTAGTGTTTTATAAATTAAGTCTCTACAACGCAGCTAGTTACTATATGGTGTAGTAAGGTACCAAATTTGGGCATCGTGACATCATATCAGCGCTCCAAGCGTGACGGAAACTCTTAGGGGCGAGTAGGATGGTGACTGAATGTGGATTGCGAGGCGCCCGTGAGCTGTGGGAGGGGAAGTTTATGAGCCAATATCTCAGCCTAAGACTAAGAGTATCGTATTAACAAGCGGTTGGTCTTGTTTTAGAGAGCAAAGAATTCTGCTGAATGCAATACCAATAAAATTATTCTAGACTCGCAGGCAAAGTAGAATAAATCATGTCGTGAAATAGCACTATTTTCCCGTCTTTTACCGTCGTACACTCTAGGTATTAATTATTAGCTCTTGATATTATTATATTATAGAACATTCTGTGCATGCGTGCGTCCATGCCCCTGGACATTCTGTTATCGTGGTTGATGTTGCCACAATGTTGCTGCAATGTTGCCGCAATGTTGACGATGTTTTCAGGTTGCGTCCACGCCCGTGGCCATTCTGTTATCGTGGTTCACATTACCTCAACGTTGCCGCGATGCTTTCAGGTTGCATTCATGCGAGCGGTGTGCAGCAGCTGCAGGGATGGCTTCCCGGCAGCAGAGCTGAAGCTTCTTGACAGCCTCGTTGGCAGCATCCCCGCATCGCCGGCAAAGAACCTCAACCAGCAGTCTCTGCTGCAGCCGCAGGTCGCCTCCTCTCCATCCAGCGCAAAGAAGATGAGCATGAAGCAGGGTGCGTGCTTGTCATCATTGTGTTGTGGAAGCACAGTTCCATATTGCAACATAGAGACATATACTGTATACACCATACTTTTCGCGTACAGATATTTTCGCAAATTAAGACTTGACGGAAAATTTTGCGGTCGGTGAATTATGAATTATTCGGTATTATTCGGTATGAATTATTCGCATGCTGTTATTTTCGCGGTCAGGGACTCGTTCGCGAAATTCGTGAAAATTAAACCACAGCAAAATATACAGCGTATACAGTAGATTGCGAGGGAAATAAATGTGACAACAAAAATCATAAAGAAAGGTCACGCAAGCGAGAGCGACCTTGAATTCCGTACGATGTACGCGTGACGTTATGACGCATGCACGGCATTGCCTTGAGTTATGCACGACGTAGTTTTCATGTTAGCGATTTCTAGTGAAGATAATGTCGTGCATACGTCGCACGGAACTAAAGGTCACCGTCTTGGTCGTCGTTCTTTATTTTTATTTTCGCGTTTATTTCCCTTGCAGTCTATGTCACTATGTCGCAATATCGGACTGTGCTTCCACAACACTACAATTGTTAGGGGGCACACTTAGCAAGGGTGCTATAGATAAATGAAAATACAACAGATGTTGTGTATTATTTGTAAGAATTTTCACTAACACCTAAACTCAACACTAAACAATTTAAATTATTGTTACTCACTTCGGAATCGTAAAAGTTGGCATGTAGCACAAATAAACTTGATGCGGTGCTCAAACCTGCAGTAGTGTTTTCCTTAAGTTTCTACAATGTTTGGGATGTGATTCTAATGTGTTATCATCGGCGTGGAAATCACTTTATAGGCAAGAGCAGCTTTCGAGGAATTCGCACTAGCACGCTGCTGCCCTCTATGGGCGATGAGCGAGAGCATGGAGATAATGAAGGCGACGGAATGGGTGTGACTGCCCCACATGAAGTTCTCGTCATTTCTCTTGGCAACGCGCCAATGGAGTGTCCTGGCATGCTGCCAGAATCAAAGGTAAACTATTGCCACGTGACGCCATGCTTCATGATCATGTGACTGTCATACATGCGTTGTGCTTGGGGAACCATCAGTGCATGAATTGTTTGGACTTCGGGTGTCTCTTGACCTCCCCTCCCCCTAGTAAGTGTCAGATAACCTTTTGACCTCAAGAAGGGTTAAACATGGATTTGTTGACTGTCTGTTAGAAAGAAATTGACTGCGGGTTTGCTAGTAGAATCTATACATGCAGTGATGTAGAGCTACAATGTCACAGTGAAATTTCAAAAGCTAATTTGGTTAAAGAAGGTTATGCTCTTAAATCGTATAATTTATTGGCATTCTGTACTTCAGTATGTTACATGTACGTATGCCACTGCCAGTGGCTACTGCAGTGCATGTGTTGGTGATGTGAGTTTTTGCCTTAATTGGTTACAGGTGGCAGCTCTCTATTGCGCAGCTGTAGGCTGCGTAGGTAAATGGATGAGTGCTTACCTATTCTGTTCGCAGATAGTTGTTGCTACTACGTAGATGGAGTCCATCTTTAATCTGAACAACCTTAAACGTACGCGCATCTCGGCAACTTTCATAACGATCCAAACGAACATTCTTTTGAAAGGTTCTGATACCATCCTGATGCAACTGTCGGGTGTAGTGAACACATTTGGACTACAGGGTTTACTAGAATCCGCACCATCCACACAGAGTCACCGAAGTAGACGTTAGATGAGCGCTGTCGCTCTGCGGCACTTGTTATGGTTAAATTGCTGCATAATACTTCTATATTCCCTATATTGTTCGTGTGATCATACACTCATGAGTCATACATAGCCAATAGCAAGCAATTAATGTCAGGATATATAATATCAAATCGTCAGTTTTTTGGATTTTAACAAAAATCAATTATCAAAACTCTAGTTGAGAAACAATCTGTCAGGTAATAATTGACGATACGTTTAGTCCCGTTAGTACTTACTTTTAATGTAAAAAAATGAGCAACAAGTTTTTACAAATATGACCATAGAAAATTCATGACGTAGTCAATTAAGATGACAAATTAATATGTCGTTTATTAATGAAATCGGGGATTTAATTACTATTATTCCACAAGGGGTCTGGCAAGCGGCAAGAAGGTGACGGCCAACAATTTGAGCTGAATTGAAACCTTCAGTTCGAGGACACTGTTACTCCGCAGGCATGCGTAATATCCTCATTATTTGTTTACTCACTTAATATCCTATATAATTGTTTACTCGCTTAATACTATATATTTGTTTACTCACTAATATCCTTATATATTGTTTACTGCGCTTAATATTCTTATATAGGTTACTCACTAATATACTTATATATTTTGTTTACTCACTTAATATCCTTATATATTTGTTTACTCGCTTAATTTCTTATATATTTGTTGCTCGCTTAATATTCTTATAATTGTTTAGCTCGCTTAATATTGCTTATAT